AATCCATTGTAATCCCCAAAGACTAGTGACTATGTCAGATGGCTTAAAACCATCAACCATCGGTAGAATGCAGCCGCCACGTAAAACCTGCAGGTTTTAGACCCACAAAAAACAACGATTCACGCCAAACGCGCTGATCTTGCGGCAGCGACAAACGTCAATGCTTGGGGCGTGAGTTTTTCATGACCTCAATGGCACAGCCTGATAGACTTTTGCCTCGATCCAAATTTCTCAGACTTCTTTCATGACTTATATCAACAAACTATAGAACATGTAGAAAAACACTTATGAATATATAACACACACACACACATATATATATATATATAATGTATAGATTTTATGTCTAGATTATATGTATAGACTATCAATGTGTTCCACATGTTTTTTTTTTTTTAATATCCATTTCATGCAACTTCCGGTGATTTCCCCAGGTGGGCGCCTTGCTGTTGGTCCAGTCGCCCACCGCGGTGCCGGCCGAAGTCTTGGAGGTTCCAACAGGAGAGTCTCCCGTTGTATATACCCTCTGGTAAACTAACAGTTTGCTATGGAAAACCACATTTTTTCATGGGTAAATCCATTATAAATGGCAATTTTCAATAGCTATGTTTGTTTACCAGAGGGTATCTCATGTATATCTATATATAGTAAAAACCTATAGATTAATAGCATATTATATGATATATAAAAGATATCTATGTCTATATATATATATTATATATATATATGATTAGTATCTATAAGGCTACCTCTATATATATGGTATATCTATTAGATATCTATTAATGATAGTAAAAATCTATAGATTAATCTGGATAAAATATAACGACCTCACTGCGACCGAAGCCTGGAATCATGGTTAATAAGGGAAACCATCCCCAAATGGCCGCAAGATTCAGGTTAGTGAATTATTATAATTTACCCAGATTAATAGCACCTAGCTGAAGTTCTTGTGTTTTCGCATTCGTGGTGGATTAATAGAATATATTAATGTACCTTCTGGTTATTTAACATAGCCATGGAAAACGGTCCATTTATAGATGGTTTGCCCAGCTAGAAAATGGTGATTTTCTATGGCTATGTTAGATAACCAGATGGTATATTAATGATAGTATTTATATATATAATAGATATCTAATGATAATTGATGTATCTATATGGTAAAAATGGTATTAAGGTCTCGGTGATATAGCATTTAGTGGCATAGATATAGATATCATATTGATTCATATGATACAGTTAATTTATTGTCTATTATTGTTTTCTTGGTGATATTATTACAATACCAGTATTTCACTAATATTATACAAACCATGAATAGTTTATTTTCCACGAAAATAGGTGTGGTATGGTTTATTGATCAGAGATATGATAGGTTCGTTTTTAATAATAGTGGTAATATATCTGGTTTATTGTTTGGTAATATGTATTGCATATCTAGTTTACCTTTTGTAATACATAGGAATGAAGCATGTGCTTTTGGTTATAGAAGCAATTATTATTATTGTTGTTATTATTATCTATTATATTGTTCTTATTCTTATTACTTTGTTTTTTGTTTATTAATTGTATTCGTATTAGTATTATTATATATAATATTGTTAACAATATTATTATTATGTATTTATTGAATCATAAGTACTATCTATAATGGTAATGTCTATTATATGTCTTGGTTTATTATCCCGTAAATCGATCATTTATCCCAGATTATGGCCACTAAGTGGAGATATCATAGATTTAATGGATTGTCAACAGTTAAAGTATCACTATATCTCTTTTTCAAACTCTTATTGAATCAACAATCTAAATAATGGTCAGGATAATGGAAACATGGGAACGCCTATTATCAATTATAATCTTTACCAAATATAAACTGATCAACCATCCAGAGGTCTGATTAGTTGGTCTTGCTGAAGGGCAGGGTTCGGCTTTGTCAAACATGAGTTCCTTGGCAATGCAACATCTAGTAATAGTACGTGAGGTCTTTCAGTGGTTGCATTGCGGACATCAGTGATCTCATATGTATCCACGTTGTCAATTGTTGCCCGGAACATGGGTTATGACAAGGGGCGAAACTGAAGAAATTACATCTTTACCTGCGCAGAATATTCCTGTAAATGAACATAGACCCCGCCAAATAGGGGCTTGGAAGATTAGTTTCCACTAGAAACAGGCCATTCCATGTCTAGCAGAAAGCGGCCACCAGCCACTTGCACGAAAGTTTTCACCAGGTGGGGGGCTCTTCCCAGCTTGTCGAGATGTATTTTGTGTTTAGATGGTTTGACGGTGCGAGAAGTTATGGCAAATTGGCAATGTCCAGAGCTTTGCGAAGCTTGCGCGTATTAATTGTTTTGTGTTTTTGTTTTTGTGGGTTGAAACCCGCAATTATCTCTGAGATATCCTACCTATCAGATTTCCGTTCCATTGTGTTTACTAGTTTGTGCATATGCACACGTTCTACGTTGTGATATTTCAGATATCTCTGATGGATTCTGAATATAAATTGATTGGGCAAAAGGATAGGTAGGTAGGTAGATAGGTAGATAGCTACTTACGTAGGTAGGTAGATAAATAGATAAATAGATGGTTGCATATAGATAGCTAAATATAGATAAACATAAAGAACAATAAAATGAATAGTTTTTTAGACACAGAGATAGACAGATCAATGGCTAGACAGATAGATAGGTAAAAACAGATAAAGAAATCAAATGGGAGACAATGACAGATTAGATGTATCCCAATCTCTTGTGGGTTATAAAAAATCACGTCCCCATTGAATTTCGGCATTTCAAGTGACCAACCAGGCGTTGCACTTGCTCTTCAGGGACCTACCTAAAGAGGCCAGGCATCCGTGGGCCCATTGAGGCCATTGATAGATTTTTTCTCGTGTATTTGAACAGGACAAAACGACAACACAGCATTTATTGTTACTGCAGCCCTGCTTATATAATCCATTATAATCCACCAGAATAGAAGATAAGTACAGCTGATTTTTGAGGGGTCATTAGTCATTGGTCAGTATTGGTCATACTTTCCATTGCAAGGATCTTGCCCTCAACCTATCACAGCGGGACATTGTGGCAGAAGGTGACCTGGGCATTGTAGTACTGAGAAACAGCGGCATCAGTGGCATGTTTCCGAAGTTCATCTACCCTCTGGTAAACTAACATAGCTATTGAAAATGGCCATTTATAGTGGATTTTCCCATTAAAAATGGTGATTTTCAATAGCTATGTTAAATTACCAGAGGGTAAATAATGCATCTAAATCATATATGCATCGCTGAACACACGTAGAGATGCTCCAGTTAAGGTAGTTTACACCACCTTGACACTAGTTTACACAAATTTCATTAATTTCTCATTGGTGGTTTGGAACATGTTTTTTTTCCATAACGGATAATCCTTTCCATTGACGAACTCATATTTTTCAAGATGTTTATTCCACCACCAACCGGATGATGATTTGATGATGATTTGATGATGTTTCTAATATGCCTTGCGAATGAAGGCAGGCCTTCAACTCGCCTCAGGTGGTGAAGGAATCCTTGGAACCACAGGTGGGCTGGGCCGAGGAGCCAACCTGGGAGGTTTCATGAAATGGGGGTACCCCCAGTTATCCATAAGAGGCTGTTCCATTATAAATCAGCCATTTTGGGGTACCCGTGTTTTTTGGAACCCCCCATATACTGTATATATATATATATACATATATATATAGATAGATAGATAGATAGATAGAGTAGATACTGTAGATACTGTAGATACTATAGATACTGTAGATACTGTGGATGGATAGATAGATAGATAGATAGATATAAATAAATGTATAACTATTAATGGTCATTATTTGGGCTCACCATTTTTGTTCCAACAAAACGGGCCTTGGACGATGCCTTTCAGGGCATGCATTTGACCATAGGTGTAAGTCCTGAGGGGAATACGTCATGATTGTCATGTCCTACTCGAAATATCGCAAACACGACTTCAAATATAATTGCAATCAGGGGCCCCTGTCATGGAATATAAACTTTGATGTCGCAGACTATGATGCATATTGTATCATATTGTATTGTTCTACCACGATTCAATAATTGTAACTCATCATGTCAGTCGCTAGCAGACACCCCATGTGCCGCGAGGCGTATTGTGCTTTGGCTGCCTTGCTGCAGCATTTGGTCAGCTGCCTCAATGGGAGATCCCATGAGATCCCGGGAAGGTGACTATTTCATCCTCCCACTGGCATAGGTCGTAGCCCATGGCAAAGCCGGTGACTAATATTAAGTTAATTAATGTTAATTAGTATTTATGGTAGATATTCCTACGGATTAATGGGTTTCCTTTTTGAACAAACGAACATAAGTGGGTGGCCGTCCGTTGTAAAGATTTCAAACACAATGAAGCCGCTGAGCTCTGCGGATCTACCTTATAGATGCTCAATGGATAGGCCACAAGTTCAAATACTAGCCATCGGTGATTAGCAGGATTAGCAATACATGAAGACAAAAAAGAAAAGAATTTAATTAAAGAAAAAAGAGAAACATCATAAATGGGTATATGTCAGAACTGGCTCCTGCTAAAACCAGATGGTGAGTAAAGATTACGAGTCCATTTGAATCAATTTGTAGCCCCTGGGTTGCACACTCGCAAAAGGATGTTTTTGGGCAGCCCCAGGACCACTAAGAGATCACTGTTCCATTTCGAAGTTCCAGGGGGCCCTAGTGGTATCATGTTTAAGCCATCATATTAGCCATCCTGGTTGGTGGTTTGGAACATTTGGATTATTTTTCCATATATTGGGAATCTCATCATCCCAACTGACTTTCATATTTTTCAGAGGGGTAGGTATACCACCAACCAGATTAGGATTGGGTTTGGGTAACTATGGAAAATCACCATGTTTGATGGCTAAATCATGCTAAACCAACAATTTCTATGGCCAAGATGCAGGACATTTCAGTCCTCCACCGTTCCCCCGCGGGCTTTGCAGCTCAAGACTTGGCATGTCGACCGGTGCCTGAGTGGTCCACCGGCCCCGGCGCTTCGGTGCATGGACCGGTGACGCCGTCCGGCATCGTCCGGCCTTGAAAGCCGGTCACCGCAGATGGTCGGCAGGAGCGATGTCATATAGGGAGTACCCGGCCTGGTAAACGTTCACACCTTTTTAGTGGGAAAATCAGCTATTTCTATGGCCATTTTCAATAGCTATGTTAAATTACCAGAGGGTAGATGAGTAGATCTGCCAGTGATGCGGCCAGATATCCATGGTTTACAATACCCGGTTGACCACCAACTGCGCTTGCAGATATATTCGGAATAATGGGGAGATGTTGCCTCTCCAAGGTCATTTAAATTTCTCAACATTGCACAGTGTGACATGTGAGGCAGCAGTTCCGGTCACGAAAGGGCTGTGGATAGCAGGTCACGGCGATGGGGCAATATTTATCCAGAAATCCTCGGATCAAATCACCTTCAATCTTTAAAGATGAACCATTGAAACATAGGAATATTATGGAATATTCATATGAACGGAAACCATCTATTGTTAGACATTTCACTTCACCCAGTTTTTTTCCATTGCTTTTTCCATGGTTTACCCACCCGTTTCCCATGGTTTCTGGGACATCGTGGCATCGTCTCAGCGTGCAGGATTCGGGACCCGCTGACCGGGGCGGTACTCCGGGCCTCGGGTAAGAAGGATAGCCGCAACGAGGACCGCGATGCGACCCTCGCACGGCCAGGGCAGATGTCGTATGTAGTGGGAGAAGCAGCAGATGTTTCTGTGTTTTTTGTTTCATGTTCTTGTTTCGCGAGATTTGTTTTTCGTTTTTTTTTTGTTTGTTTGTTTCACCTAGAGATGAAGTGAAGGAATTTAGGCACTATGAAAGATTCATCTTATCCAGTTCCATCCGGATGTTATGAAGATTTTTCCAGCTATACGTGGGATATGATATACTGTCAATAGGATAATTATTATATATGTAACATGTGAAATAGTCTATTGGGTATTACTCACATGGTGATATATCATATCACCATAGTTCATATATTATAATATATTATATGTATCTTCATATGGCTGGTATAACTTACATACAGTTATGGGCGATAGGAGCCAGAAAAAAGCTGGGATAGTCCATTCATAACCGCTAAGCTCATGGTGAGTCTTGCGATGGGCCCAAGCAGTAGTAGAATAGAACACGGTGGTATCTGTGGTGATGGGATAATTGGACTCCACCCCCATAGGTGGGGACCTGCTTTTACAAACATTTTCCGAGCCCACTGAGTTGACAATGACTAGGCTACTGGGTGAATCTTAGACAATCTTAGTTGGTACGTGAGAAAACCGCCTAACCGTGACTCACCATTCGTGTTTTTTTTTTGCGATCTCGACAGCTACATCAGCTATGCTGTCTAGATTTCCCATGGCCGCCCAATCCCATATGCGAACCATGGCGCTGGTATATTTACCTAAATTTGGGTGAGTTTTAGGGCAAATGTTGGTAAATATACCAGCACCATGGAGCATATGGGAATGGCCTCCCCTGGGCCCAGGTTGCCCAGGTTCCCCGATCGCTTCGTAAACCAAGGAATCCTATGAACGACGCCATCCCTGGGGAAGTGGTGCGTCGAAGTGATGCTGGGCCAGGATTGGGGGATCCCGGAAATATCCGGGGAGCATTTAGCACAACATACATAGAGAGAGAGAGAGATAGAGGGGGAGAGGGATATATACACACATGTGTATATATAATTATATATATATATCATATACATATATAAAATCATATGTATATATATATATATAAAACATTTTTATATACACCATTACCGTAATTCTATGTTGCATGATTGTTCTGATTCATGAAGCATTCAGAACTATTATAGACTACATGGATGATGAAAATTCACCCCCGATCGACCATATAATAACACAATGCACTTCCGCATTTTGATCCTTGCTCGGTCGTCCCAATCCATTTTGATTTGGGCAATTTTGGGCATATAGCAAGTAAAACTCTTGAACAGGTGCTTAGAATGTGATAGACTTCAGACATTCAGACATTTTTTTTTGCGCATTGTCACCATGTTGAGCCCACTTGTGGACCGGTTCCTTCGTGCTGAGCTGCCAGTGCGGTGGATGTGTGCCATGTGTGCCAGTGGGGTGATTCAAGAGGATCCCATCGGTTGAGTATTGGAGCAGTGGTTGCATTTGGCTCACAGGACTTGATGGATCACAATCATTGATGATGTTTATGTAATGATGGGAAAACCATCAATAATCATGAATAGTATCTAGGCAAAACCATCACAATCATTGATATTATGTAATCAATGTAATCCCATTCCAAACAACGCAGCGGAGAAAAAAAAGCGTTGCATTTTTTGGAAACTCAACTATTTAGTTGGATGATTTTCCCAGCAAGCCTCAAGGGATATGTCCAATTGCCAGCCCAATCGCCCAATGCTGAGGAAAAGTTCGAGAAGTCGGGACCGAGCACAAAAGCCTTGGTGCTGGACCCAGTTTGTCGTCGGAGACCGATGCGTCACGAGTCATGTGAAAGCTGCATGACTTAGGAAAGACAAACATATACAGCATATACAGCATATACATATTTACATGTTTATATATGCGTATGGGTATGTATAGATGTGTATGTATATATATATATATAGATGGGGATCGGATATGATCAAATTGAGGATTATAAAAGGATGACCATCTAGTATAATACAGCTCTTCGTTGATAGTCTTGTGCATATGATTTCACAGCATTTGCTTGATGATTGGTCCTTGGTATTTCAGGTGAGAGCCGGTCACCCGCCTGAGGCAGAAACCGACATCACCGCGGTCTTATCCAAAGGCTCTGGAACAAGAGAAAAGTGCCTCGGTTTATAAAAAGGGACTGGTTGTCTCTGACAATTGATGAGAATAGGAGATGCTGCATAAAATTGCTAATTTACAGGTGAAATGATGAGTGGATTTGGGGCCAGAAATGGGTAACATTGGGTGGTGTTGAATCTTATCTTGGCTTTGCATGACCCAATTTTGGGACAACCTCCCCTTCAAATAGTCCTGACAAACGGATCTTTGGTCGGACGGCACTGGGTTGATTTCACATGAGGAAAGCAAGGCCTGAAAAACATCCAAATATACCATCTGGTTATGACTAACATAGCCACGGAAAATCCACCCATTTTTAAGAACGGTAAACCATCTATTTCTATGGGCCATCTATACCATGGCTATGTTAGTCATAACGAGAGGGTAAGTGTAACAGCACTGCAACTGCAAGAATTACAAGGCTTCGGCCCCCTGATGTGCCCAATGATGAGCAACTATACCAGCTGGGGATGTGAATTGCTGCGGCTACAACACGGACAAAAAGCACTGCGGATCACTGCTTTTCTGTGGTCCCTTTGCGGCCGCCAGCATGGTGCAACTCAACAATTTGGGGCACCAGGATACACATGTCACATATATATATATATATATCATGTGTACAGTTCCCTATCTAAAATCCCAGCACCAAAAGGTGTATGGTTTGGTTTATATATTCCTGCCTCATCAAGCCATGACAAATTGATGCCAGCAAGTATCCCCCCAAAATATCCAATCAATTCTAGCACCTCCCCCAAAGATAGACATGTGTTTTTCTAAAACCATATTTTCTATGGTCCGCCAAGTATCTCCCTCCTCCAAATTTTCAGATACACCCTGCCGTACGTACGGGACTGGAAGATTGGACAGTCGGACAGTGGTCGAACTGTTTTATAATAAAACGGGGTGGGTAACCTATAGCAATTCATCCCATGTAAAGACAAATAAATGGGGGATTAATTGCTATAGGTATGGGGGATATGGATGGATATGGGATGAACTCCATGTAACAAATACAATGTTCCGTTGTTTTGGGGGGAGGTATGCTTTTAGGATCATTTGCCACCAGGTGGCTCAAAAAGGCGCTGCAACAAGTTTCCGACGGCGAGCTGCAAGCCGCAACTTCGATGCCATTTTTCCCGGGATGGGCCGTGGAAATGGGGTTTGAAGCAACACGGATGTGGAAAAATTTGAGTTTCATTCAATTATATAAAAACATTGTCTGGTTGGTGGTTTGGAACAGTTTTATTTTTCCATATATTGGGAATCTCATCATCCCAACTGACTACTATTTTTTAGAGGGGTTGAAACCACCAACCAGTTGATGATTTTCGAATGTTCATCTTACTTTTCATTGAATTAATTGAATTATACCGAGAAGAGTTCTGGGTAAACCTTGCTTAAGGGAATGCTTGCTGTAAGGATAGGTAAAACGTTTTTGCCGTAGATACAACTGAGAAATGTTCATGCCCAGCAATTTTTTGGTGTAGGGCATTTAGGGTTTGCCATGTGTCTCTATTTGTTTGCGTCGGTTGATGGTTTGTGTCATAGTGAGTCACCGTCACGGCTGATTGGTGGATTCAAAGATGTTGGAAAGATCGTGATTGGAGTGTGCAAATGTGAGTCTGAGGCAGTATAGAAGAAGCAGCGGGGTACAAATGACAATGAAGTTTGCATCGTCATTTGCTCATTTGAGTTTATCTTTATAAGAAATGGAGGATATCCAAAACCCGTGTTATTGCAAAGCGGAAATTATGATAAACCGCGAGGACAAGAATCAGACAACCCAGTCCCATTTCAGTGGCGTAAACATGTGGATACTCTTTCATTGCTGGGCGGATTGGGCGCGTGATGCGACCCACATGCCGCCAACATGCCCTCAATACTCAATTGAATGGAACCAAAAGATGGCCATATCCAATGCGTTCTTTTTCACATCAATTGTGAGCTTGGCAGACAAATGCCAAGTTGACTTAGTTGACTTATCACTTTTTTCACATGCGCAGCATTCAAAAACTGGTGCAACAGATGTTCGTCAGGTAGATATCTACAACATCCTGAAGGCTCTCGTCGCTGAAGGGAAAATTGGGAAAAAAAAACTGGCTCTCGTCCAGGTAGATCCACAGATTATATATTTATATGGTGATTGTCATTAGATGGGGGGTTCATGTTAGGAGATGGATACCCTCTGGTGAACTAACATAACTATGGAAAATCACCATTTTTAATGGGTAAATTCACTATAAATGGCCATTTTCAATAGCTATGTTAGTTTACCAGAGGGTAGTTCTGGCAAATTGATGCATTGCGGCAGCATTGAAGCTTGCATTATTGGTCCATGATGTCAATTGTAATTATACATAAATGATCAATTGATCAACTACATCACTATTGATATCTATTGATCCCCCAGCAATTGTAGGGGTCCCATCTACTCAGTCAACATCCAACATGAATCAAGTGTTGACAATCGCCCATTCTGACGCTTGTTTGCAGGTGCCGGATTTTGCGGCAGATCTCAAGGAGAAGACGGGGCGGAGCATGTACAAGTTCCTCATGCCGCTGGGGATTTAACATGATTTAACCATCAAGAACCGGGAACCAATGAATACTGGATATGGCTAAAAACTGATTGTATTATTTGGTTGATGGTTTGGAACATTTCCCCATATATTGGGAATGATACAGCAATCCCAACTGGCTAATATTTTTCAGAGGGGTTGAAACCACCAACCAGTCATAGTTAACCTTGGTTTTTAGTAAGTGGTATAAATCTTGATCAACCTGAATAACTTTGATTATGACACCATAAGTTTGGTGAAGGTGCGCTGGGTAAACCAAGTGGTGAAGGGTAGTTCAATAGATGTCTCTTTGCCTTGCGAGACATGCGAATATGTCCTGGGTAAAATTCTAAATCCTGTATAGAACTGGGAAATACGACAACTACCTTGAATATAATATAATATATACATATATTTACTAACCACCTAACAAGATGGTATCTAAGCATGGACACGTGTAGAACTTCGATGATATGTGGATGAACTTTGTGAAGTCAGCGGCCCAATCTTTTAAACCATGAGCAACTCGGTGTAACTTTGATGTCACATGCAGAGGCCCCAAAAAGATCGGAACATGTTGCCGGGCTACGGATGATGTTTACTTTGTAATCTAAAGGCTTCCAACTGTTCTATCTTTTTTTTGGATGATATCCTCTATTACTGGCAGGGTAAAAGCCCCATTTGATGGTTTAATTCAAAGGTTTTTTATGGGTTCAATCACTATGTCCCAATATTTAATATGTATTCTGCAACTATCCACCTTCAGAGCATGGTCTGGTCGTGGTGTATTTGTCCAGTTAAATTCCAACTTTCATAGCTTGCTTACCTCCACAAGCATTATATTGGAATAACGGAAAAACCTTTGCCATCCATTCTCAACCGATGCTTTTCACATTCATGGTTACATAAATCGAGCAAATATACCATTTTGTGACAGTTAGATCCCAACGTTTAAGTTGACAAGACCTGGCTTGTTGGCTGAACTCGTGGCAAAAATCCTAAGCTTTGATGTGTTAAATATGGTTTTCCATTTCAATTGGTCCATCATTTTTATTCATTTTTCAGATCTGTTAAGCTGTGTTAAATTTTGTTAACGTTCATTTCTTTGTTTCATACGGTAGATGGTTGCGAAATCCTGCACCAGTTGATAGGTGGTAAACATCCCACTATTTATAGGGTTTCAACCATCCAAGATGGTGCAGGATTTCGCCACCATCCACAGTATGTTTCATGTCTCACCTGTTCTTCGAACATCACACGATATCACGTACGTCTTTCGTCCAGGTCACGGATCTCGGTCTTCTCCAAAGGGTGCCTCGGATCGCTGGGAACGTAGATAGACTGTGGATCTAACTGGTAGATATGATATTCATGATTATTAATGTAGATATAGTGGTAAGTGTACTTTATATATATATATATATATAATATAATATAATATACTATGCTATACTATAATATATTAAAAGATAATATAATATAATAATATATATATATATATATGTGTGTGTGTTGATATATGCCACCATTTAAATAGTTGATATATATATATATATTTATATAGTTGGTATATACCAACATATATCTCACATTTGGGAAACATCTTGGAACACCGAGGCAACAACGTTTTCTGGCGAAAGAGTGTCCGCTTGCACAGCAGTTTGGGGGAGGCCAGGACTGGAGAAATGTTCAGAAGGAAACCATACAGTTTTGTGTGTTCATGATATGTTGAAATACATCATTTATATAGATGTGTGTGTGTGTGTTTTATGTGTGCATCAATTTCAACATCGAACCACGTAATTGTTGATGTTGTTATATATATATATCATCCCAATTTTGATCCAGCCTTAGTCTGGCACCGACATGGTTCGAGACTAGTTATCAGGGGATTGTATCCCAGCCCCAACCGATATATACTGCAAGTCCTCAGCAATTTACCCTCCAGTAAACTAACATGGCAGCTATTGAAAATGAAGATTTTGAATATGTTAGTTGACCAGAGGGTAAAGTAAACATCAAAGTATGATGGTAGGTTTGATTCCGCTTGAGGTATTGGACAGGGTGGGAACCAATGTTCTAAAATTAATATTCAGGATTTCCTGGTTGGAATTAATGCATATACATTCCCCATTTCCCCGTAGTTTTCGTCAGAAAGGTAAGTCACTCACTGGATTACTGCATCCCATTCACAACTAGTTCCCAACTGGAATGATTACCCTTTGCCAATCACACATGGCATGGAAAATCACCGATTAATTTTATTATTTTGCCATCCAAGTTATAAGTGCCCATGATATAAAAGTGCATTGCCCAGCCAGCCATGTTCGATTTCTATCCATTGCCCATTATATCCCATAAACAATCCCATTCTATCCCATAAAAAATCCCATTATATACCATTAAACAAAACTTAAACACAGATTTTAAAAAAAATCAATCCCAGTATATCCCATAAAAAAAATCCCATTCTATCCCATTAAAAAATCACATAAACACTCCCATTCTATCCCATTATATCCCATAAACAAATCCCATTAAAAAAAAGAAAAACATAAAACAAATCCCATGAAAAATCCCATTTGAAAATCCCATTAAAAAAAAAAAAACATTATACTCTACCAGTTTTTTTGGAATCCCTATAGCAGATTCTCACCCAGAAACGCCCTGATCTCCCGTGCTCTCGCGTGCACACCATGCGCTTGGCCAGGCGGTGCTGCTGAACCCATGGTGGACGACAGCAAGCAGAATCCCGAAGCGGCGGAAGAGATGATGGTGCCCTTGGGGCCATCTGGGCAATTGGGGTTGATAGTCACTGTGGTGATTTCAGTCCTAAGATGGGAAGGCCATTGAGTAGCTTGATTTAGCTTGCCTTGTTCCAGTTTTCTTTAAGTTGTTCCCATGTTTTCCAAATACTTTCCCAACACTCCTCAAATTTCTACCATACCGTACGCCGTACATCACTCCTAACCGTTTTTCAAGATTTTCACCACATTTTCCCACATTTGTCTTTTCAAATTTCCCACATTTCCACCGTTTTCTTCACCCATTTCACGTCTACGCCGTGAAACAGGTCACGTCCCGCCGCGCCAGGCGCGCGTCCGGCAGTTCGTGCGGCAGCAACAGGGCGTGGAGCTGGACAGGGGCTCAGCAGATCGTTTCGGGATCCCAAAGGAACAGCAGATTATTTGTGGCTATCAATTATTAAACATGATGATTAATGATGATTAATGGAAGGTAATCATGATGATTAATGATGATCAATGGAAGGTAATCATGATGACTGATGATGAATAATGGAAGGTAATAATTATGATTAATGATGATTAATGGAAGGTAATCATGATGATGATTAATGATGATAATGATGATTAATGGAAGGTAATAATGATGATTAATGGAAGGTATTCATGATGATTAATGATGATTAATGATGAATAATGATGATTCATGATGATTAATGATGATGAATGATGATTAATGATGATGAATGATGATTAATGATGATTAATGATGATTAATGATGATTAATGATGATGAATGATGTTTAACGATGATGAATGATGAGTAATGATGATGAATGATGATGAATGATGATTAATGATGATGAATGATGATGAATGATGATGAATGATGATGAATGATGATGAATGATGGTTAATGATGATTAATGATGATTAATGATGATGAATGATGATTAATGATGATCAATGATGATGAATGATGATTAATGCTGATTAATGATGATGAATGATGATTGATGATTAATGGCAGGTAATCATGATGATTAATGATGATGAATGATGATTAATGATGTGAATGATGATTAATGATTATTAATGATGATAATGATGATGAATGATGATTAATGATGATCAATGATGATTAATGCTGATTAATGATGATTAATGATGATTAATGATGTTTAATGATGATTAATAATGATTAATGATGATGAATGATGATTAATGATGATTAATGATGGTTAATGATGATGAATGGTGATTCATGATGATTAATGATGATGAATGCTGATTGATGATTAATGGAAAGTAATCATGATGATTAATGATGATGAATGATGATGATTAATGATGATGAATGATGATTAATGATGATTAATGATGATTAATGATGATTAATGATGATGAATGATGATTAATGATGATGAATGATGATTAATGATGATTAATAATGATTAATGATGATGAATGATGATTAATGATGATTAATGATGGTTAATGATGATGAATGGTGATTCATGATGATTAATGATGATTAATGATGATTAATGATGATGAATGATGATTTATGATGATGAATGATGATTAATGATGATGAATGATGATTAATGATGAATAATGATGAACAGTGGAAGGTAGTAATGATGATTAATGATGGAAGGTAATAATGATGATTAATGATGATTAATGGAAGCTAATAATGATGATTCATGATGATTAATGATGATTCATGGAAGGTAATAATGATGATTAATGATGATTAGTGGAAGGTAATATTGATGATTCATCATGGTTAATGATGATTCATGGAAGGTAATAATGATTATTAATAATGGTTAATTCTGATTAATGGATGGTTACTAGTTAAGCATTGGCCTTCAGCTTGACTGCTGATCTCCTGAGATGGCAATGGAGAGAGAGAGAGAGAGAGAGTTAAGCATTGTGGGTAAGGATAACTGGATAACGAACAAAAACCAACAGGTTAATGATGATCAATCATTTTTAATGCGGGTAAAACAACAGTAAACCACCCATGACTGGGAATGGTTTATACCACCTATAAACATGTTGATTTGGGGGGTGGTTTATTATTGTTTGACCCACAATAATAGTGCTGATCCAAGTTATGGTTACTTGTTATTTCTATATCATACTCATGTGTAATATGGGATTGGTTATTTATGTTCTAAACCATACTGAAAGTTGAAAACCATGTGTTTGAACTCATTACGAATCACAATGTGGCAAACCCAACACTAGACAATCCCAAATTTTGGTTTAGTATTGAGTATAGCCCTACTTGAGGGCCCATGGTCACCATGAACGATTTCTTAAAAGCCATGTAAATCAACCATAATCAACCTAAATTCAGTGTCATATATATATATATATATATTTACTGTATATATATATATATGGATATCTAGGCCGCAGCAATACTTGCTACATCGAGCCTTGAGGAACATATTATATATATATATATATCTGGTTGGTGGTTTGGAACATTTTTTATGTTCCCCAATAGTTGGGATGATGATCCAATCTGACTAATACAGTATTTTTCAGGGGGGTAGGTATACCACCAATTAGATACATATATATATATAATATATATATACCCTTTGGTTATTTAACATAGCCATGGTATAGATGGCCCATTTATAGATGGTTTACCTATTACAAATGGTGATTTTCCATGGCTATGTTAGTCATAACCAGATGGTATATGTCATGTATTTCTTATTTGAATCCCCTATTACTTCCTGTCAAAGAACCCAACCCCCCCAAAAAAAATCCAGGACCAGGCCGTGGCCGGCATTGCGCCTGTGCCAGCTGTGCCAGCGCCGTACCTCACCGTTGAAAACCAGGTTTTTTTTTCCACCAGAACTGGGAATTTGACTCGAAATCAATATGGATATACACACACATATCTATCTATATATATATATAATACATACATGTATGCACATGTGCATATATATATATATTTATTTATTTGTGTGTGTGTTATTTTATCATATTTTATATGTTTGTTCTTGAAGTCAATCCGAGTACCTAGAACTGGGTTTCCCAGAAAGGGGGATTAACATGGATGAACAGACCAACCTGCTTTGCCCAACAAGCCATACGCCAAAGACTCCTTTGTTGAGGTTGACCTAAGACATGCTATATTTTCAGGGGTTGACGTGAGAGAAATGCCCCGAAAATAACAACAATTTGTTGGGATTTCACCATTCCAAATAGAGATTCAAACAAGGATTGTTTTGGATATGCAATGATTTTATTGGGACTTTTCTATGGGCATTTCGGGATTTCGAGATGGGTACCTGGGTACAGTTTCCACGAAACTTGGACAAAGGATTGACAAAATTAAATGGATGAACATGTACCCTAAGGTAAACGTTTACACACACATATTAATATACCTAGTACAACGAAAGCCTAACTTTTTGCAGGATAAAAATGTAAACCTCGTGTTTTCCAGGGTGCACTGCGAAAACATCGTGTTTCCAGGAAAAACATCGTGTTTTCCCAGGATGGCTAAATAAACGTTGTTTTCACATGATTTGGCATCACTTAAGCAGACCACGTACACAAATCAACCAATCATAGTCATAGTCATATCATAGTCGCATGATATGATCATCGTTTGGCGTTTCTTTTGTGTCTAAGTCTTGAGAAAAACTGCTTGAAGCGTGGTCATGGTTGTACGCCCCAAAATATCGATCTCATCGAAGGGCTAGTATGGGACTTGGATTGAATTTTGAGACAACCTACTGAGAAAAGTTCGGGCTTATTTTGAACCCGTGCTGAACCCGTGCTAAGCCCGTACTTTACCCGTGCTAACCCGAACTTTTGGCATAAATACATCGTGTTTTTCCAAAACACAATGTTTTTTAAACGCGTGCTGAACCCGTGCCAAACCCGTACTTTACCCGTGCAAACCCGTACTATTTGTTCGGGTTCAGAGGGGTCCCACCTTTGCCATTTTTGCTGCAATATTTCAACAGATTCATATGATCATATGAAAATAAATGAAAATAGACATCGCATCGGAATCATTGGTGGGTGATGTTGGCTATCTATGCTATCCACTGGTCAAGAGGGAGCTGAGGAGCCACCAAGAGTTTCCCAACCACATGTTTGTTGGGGGTTGTGGCCAAGAATGCTGGAATATGCTGGAATAGGATGACTCTATTCATTTCTCTCTTCACCATCAAAACTGCAAATTTGAAAACATCGGGTTTTGTGGAAAAACCTCGTGTTTTTTTCATATCCCACGTTTTTGTAGGTTTTTGAGTTTCAAGGTATATATATATATATTTGGAAAAACCCATGGTTTCCCTAGGGAAAGGATCTCATTTCTGGTTGGTTTTCCACATAGAATCTATGTGATTTACAGGAGGACAAACGAGTCGCGTGAGGATCATCCAAGTGTTCCCTTCTTTTCGCTGGTGTTTTTTTCCCACTTCGATGGGCCATGGCTAGCTAAGTGCCATAGTGAATATTGGGTTTAAGACTTACAAGCCATTACAAGAAACTATTACAAGCGAGTTGGGGGGTTAACATGCTGTTTCCACATGTTTCCACTTTCTGTTGGAGTCCCACCCTTGTTCTTGATGGTTCAATCATTCCCAAGAAATGTGGGTTTCATCCACGATAAATAACCCAGTGCCGATCCAGTTGGTTTTACCACCAGAAGTTGATGCTAAATTCCCACATTTGGTGTTGCTGAAAACACCATTTTGACATTTTGAATGGATATTCCCATGGAAAAACGCAACATCCTTGGCCTCCCTAGGCCTCCTGCAGCACCAGCAGCGCTGGTACCGCCGGCTGTGAGACAAGACATGTCTGCTGTGGCCAACATCATCGCGAGGTGCACCGAAAGGGATGCCATGGTGGATTTGGTGGATTCAAATGCATCATGTTGCCTCAGGATTAGGAAAAAAACTGATCATAGCAAAAAGGAGTTAAATCATGATCAGTTTAGCTATAAAAACTGATTAACTGGCAAAGATTAGGGGCATTCGCCGCAAAAACGTGATGATTTGCTAAATGACGATTCCCAACGACAAGCCGGAGGGTGACCTTGGGGAGTGCAGCCGTAACCAATCTACCACTGGAAAGAATTGGGATATAGAAGGTTAATGCCATTCTGAAATCAGCAGGATGTGTGGACACACACACACACACATATGGAATATATACATATATATAGAATATAGAGATTACACACACACATATATATATATAAATAATCAAAATTCAATGGATATAATCATCATGGGGATGATCATGGGGATGGGGGATCAGGGTTTGTATACAACCAAGTTGATATAATACATGGGTGTGTTTGAAAGTGAAGGCACACACAAATAGATTGTAATATTAATAACGATGGTAGTAACGAACATCATTTTTGGGAACTCTGCTTCGAGACGAATCCCAATATTTCAAAAGTGTCACCCACAAACTATGAATTTTGCTGCATATTTTGCTTGATGATGAGTAACGTCTTTTGACGTCTTGATTTCAAAATTGGTGCGTGGAAGACTTGCAAGAAACCAGCACATTTAGATTGTAAAAACGTGGTCTTCCTGTAATCCCTCCTTTGAACCGATGCAATCATGAATGGTTTGTTAAAAAGGATGAAACCAGCCATGTCACAACACATAAAACAAAATCACGTGTTATCGCCCAAACTGCATAGTTATTAGCCACAATGGGAGTTGGTGACAGTTGCTCCACAATGTTGTGCTCCAGGGCATCGAACACAGCAGTCACTCAGCGGCAACGTCGGTGGTGGGTATGATAATATGGCACACAAAAAGTGACGGATAATATAAGGAGAACAACCCTAGAATGACCTACCTAATTCAGGTTGGTGAATGATGATTGAGCCATATGGGTTCAAAAATGTGTATGCACATTGTCATTCATCCCCACAAGTTTTAAGCAGCATGGTTTTTGGAAAAGGCATGAACGACTAGCTTTGCTGCAGGGATCATCTATAGCAAGACATGATAGTCCCAGCCTAGGGTTTCCCTGAAACGAACTCCACGAGTACCTGGTCAAGCTTGAATAGCCTCACAACGGGGGTACCTACCAAGTGAAAGTGAGCCAGGGAAGTGTCCGGTGGTTATCTAAGTCCAATAAACCCTATATTTTGTTTCCCCATACCCAGGCCCTGTTCAGTAGATCTACCGGTCCAAGGTCAACTACCAGGCAGCGGCGGCAGTGGCGGCACCGCCGGCGCCAGTTCTGGTGCCAGTGGCGCCAGTGGCGGCACCGGTCTCGGCGCCGGTCTCGGCCATACGAGAGGAGAAGGCGGTTCGGCAGGGGTTGACCCTGGAATCATATGGAAAATATGGACTAAAGTTGGAAAATATTGACTAAAGAATACTAAAGATGATTAAAGTGGAGAAGTTATTCAATATGTTACTGATGTAATTTGTAAAGTTTAATGTTGCTGCAAGAAGTGGGAGTAAATACCAACCAGCTAAAACTGAAACACTATTTTGCATGGCCATGCATTTTGCCCACCAAGCGACCAGCCGACCACTGGTCGACCCTTTCCTGTGCCACTGTGTCGGCGCAGGCATCGAGCGAGTCGGAAGTTCGACAGCGAGAGCCGTCGAGCTCAGCGAGCAGAAGAAAAAGTAAAAAGTCACTTGGTCTCCGCATCAGGGGCGGTCAACTGTTGCTGGTTGGTGGTTTGGAACATGGCTTTTATTTTGCCATTTGTTGGGAATAATAGTCCTAACTGACTTTCATATTTTTCAACGGGGGTTGAAACCACCAACCAGAGTATCATGCAGGTGTCAAGTACCATTTCGGTATTTGTTTGGCGGTCTAAAAGTTGGCACCAATGGACCCACTTTGTTTTTTTTGGGAATTCGGAGGCGATCAACTATCAAGAATTCCTTCGCGGTCAATTTAATGTCCCATCCAGAAAGCCTTGTTTAGTTTTGATCTATTCATATTGGGGTCCCTTATAGGGGGGTATCAAAAATTACAAGTAGGGGATTAGGGTATATTAGGGTAGTGCAAGCTTGCATCAGGTAAGCGGCCAAAAAAAATTGAAAGATTCTTAGATTGAAGATCACCAATAGGTCTATCCTATTACATCCTATTACCCTCCTGTGCCTACGATGAAGAAGCCTCATGCAGATGTCAGATGATGTCAGCATTTGTCCTGGCATTTGAACAGGGACATGATGCCTTTTCTCCTGTATGAGCAAACCTCGTTGGGCTTTGTGACTTCAACATATTTCAACTATTTCACGGTAACAGATCATGAACCAGCCATGCTTGGGATGAGGACACGCAAGAATCGCTCGCGCTCCAGGTGCGTTTCGGGAAGGGCTGAGTCAAACTGGGAATTTTTGAGGTGCAACAAAAACGATAAAAGGTGCTGCCCCGTTAGTATGCCTTAGTTCATCTTAATGATGTTCGGTGGTAATTCAACCACCATTCAGTGCTATAGTATAGCTATTATAAATGCTATATATTCCTATCTAGTTCACCTACTTACCCAACTAAATGAGGAAACGAATCATCAAAAACCACCTGGCAGGTGACTATTTTAGTACCCAAACGCCTATATAATTACTATCGTCAGCTCTGAGATAGAGAACCAGGTTGATTTCACCAGATTTCACCGGGGGTAGATACGAAAATAGGGCATCCAAGTTTGTGTAATGCTTAATCATCATTTTTCCATTGAAATAGCATAACATGACCTTAATACTATACCTTAATTACATGGGTAAATGTCCAATTTCCGACGGATCCAATGGGTGAGCCGATCCAGGGACCGAAGGAGACGGTGACGATTTCCTATGTGATCCGTTTGCATCTGCCGGAAATCCAGCAAACTCAGGTGAAAGCAGGGGTGTTAAGCCCCCAGCTACGGAATTCCCATGAAAAATTGAGGTTTTAATGGGGAAATCATCTATGAATGGGATTCCTGATTGCCATCTATCTGATTACCGGAGGGTAAGCCTGGATTCAAAACTGTTTGGCTAGTTGATCTGGGGGGTAATGAGTAGCAGATTCATCAAACAGGGTTTATTCATCCATAATCCAAGGGTTGGCTTTAAATAATTAATCTATTTGTCCGTCCATTCATCTATCGATCGAGATAAGCATTCAATCACCTACAGATCATAGCCCCGAATGGGCCTTTCCAAGTTGCAATGAACAGCCACTAAGGCTGACATTCCGGAGCATATGCAAAGCAAATTTGTGGCGTTTCCCCTCAAGAAATTATATGTTTGGCAGAAATTTCCACACTGAAAAAATGGTTCCTAGGGTTTCACGCTCGGTTCACGCTCGGTTCACGGTCATAGTTGGTCTTTTGCCAGTCATAGTTGGTCTTTTGCCGGTGATAGTTGGTCCGGTTCACGCTCGGTTCACGCTAGCGATTCTGGGTTGTTGCTCACCGACAGGTCAGTTCTTTCCTTTTCGAGGGGTATGGCACCAAGTTCTTTCTTACAATATAGTTGTTTTTTCCCTTTCAGGAGAGGTCATATTTCATGTTTATGGCCACGGGCCCATACATAGACCTATACCGTTCTTTGGCCCCCTCTATGATGAGATGTTTATATCTAGATATATCTACTCTTGACATCTCTTGGCACATTTGATCTAACGTTTGTTTTGATATCTTAGTCAACCGGCCTCTTCTCCCAAGACTAGATTGCGCACCCTCTGGTAGTTTTACATGGTAATGGACATGAATGGGTGTGGCTGAACATGATTGTCATTTTAATGGGGCAATAAACATCAAATTTGGGGGTGCTCTTTTTTTTGGACAAACCTAATAGATTTGAATAGTAAGGACAATCATCCACAGCTGCAGATTTGGGTTGGTCAGCTGGCAGAAGCAAATGGCCGGGTCTCGCGAGAAAACGCCCACAGGTAGAACCAATGCTACCCAGAAGCTGCTTAGAAGAGACAAGGGGATTTTTTACTTTCGCCACTATAAACCTTCACGTGATGGTTGGTTGATGTCTAGTTGTTTAGCACAACTTATGCAGTATTCTCGACTTGTTCCTCCGCCCAGACAAAAAAGAGGCACACCCACACACACGCAAGTTGAATTTGGCAGTCTCAGGCACCATCTTCACCCCTGAATGTTCCCAAAGATGTTTTGCGCAATGTCCTCTGGGGATGCGATTAGTGCGCGCGGATCAAAGACTGGACTTGCAGCGCTCAAAAAGGCGATGTCAGTGGTGGTAACCAATCGTTTCACCAACCGATCGACCGGAATTTCACCAACCAATGAGGATTTGGCCCATCGGAAAAGGGATCTCATTAGTGGGGATTGTCGAGAGGGTACAGCTTGATAAATGCTGGAACTTGGAAGCTACAAAGAGATTGGTTGTTTTGAAAAAATCGAGGACACGGACCGAATGGTTGGTGAAATGGTTGAATGTCAGCAATAAATCAATGGAGGAATGTCAATGTGTTAGCACACATGTACTTTAAGGGAGATGTTTAATGTCAAAAGGTTACTTAGACTGTAAGTGGTATTAAGTGGTGTGTACGCATGGGTATCCTTTAAACAAAGAGTATCGCAAAGAATGTAAAACATATGATTTGCATTTTGGTGTTGAGTCTGTTATTGTTTCTTGTGGGGAAGCTGGTCCCAGTTGCACGATGTTAATCTTGCCCCAATGAAATATCACGCTTGAAACCCTGGTTTAGTTTTGGATTTGTTCATTTGAAGGATCCATATTGGGCATATTTGATATTAGATATCCTAGGTGTTTATTTTAGGATTATCAAATATACATCTATCATGATATATCTTATAAACACTGGTTTGTTTACCAGTTTACCTATATAAACACTTGGTTTCATTGTTCCTGCATCCACTGTTAAGATATATACCAAACCAGCTGGTTCCGCTGGCGGTTTCTGAATTTCCTCCAGGAATCCAGATCACCGAGGAAAAGTCGGACCAGTGAATTTGCTTAAGAACAAATAATTACTGGTTGGTGGTTTGGAACATGGCTTTTATATGCTTTTATGACTTTCCACTCAGTTGGGAATAGTAACCACCAACCAGTGTTTATTCCATGTGTAAATCAATCTTGGTCACATGCTGATTTTTTTTCTTGCACGTACATCCATGTACATTTTTTCAACATGGGCGCAGATCCAAGTGGTATTTTTAAAACCCAACAATACCAATTACCCTCTGGTAAACTAACATAGCTATTGAATATCACCATGTTTAATGGGAAAATCCACTATAAATGGCAATTTTCAATAGCAAACTGTTAAATTACCAGAGGGTATGGGACATGTATTTTCTTTTCTCCTCAGGATGGGAACACGCCGGGCACTGTGCATGGCACTTGATGCCATCTATTCCTACGGGCCATGGCTACCATGGCTATGTTGAATAACCGGAGTGTCTTTGCTCCATGTTTAATCACCAAAACTTATATTCCATCAGGAACAATAGCGCATGTGTATGTGCTCATGGAACTCATGTTTGTTTCCATGCGGGTCAAGTTCCCGTTCATCGCTTGCTTCAGTCACACCATTTCCCATTCAGATACACCATAAATTGGTTCCTTCAATACATCCCATGATAAACTTGGGATGTAAGTGGTGGATATGATCGGGATCATCTACTCACACAGACTCGACTAAACGAGTGGCGCGTCCACCCCACTCGTTTGCGGTATCTACGAGAGATCCAGCATAATCCAACAGTGAAATCTCATAGTCATTCTTATATATAGTTATGAAATGTTATAAACCATTAATCATTAATCCTCTCCCCCTAATACTAAACCCCGGCCCCCTCAAATAATAAACACCTCGTGTTGGTTTTATTATTAGGGGGTATTTATTATTAGGGCTCCCCCTAATACTAAATTTTAAACCCTACTATTAACAAAAAAAATGTTCTATTTCAAAATCGATTAGATTTCCCTTTAAAAGCTAATTACATATTGCCTAAAATTGGATTTCGAAGCTTCCCCCTAATAGTAAATTCAGAAACCTAATATTAAAAACTTTTTGTTCTATTTCAAAATCGATTAGATTTCCTTTTAACATCTAATTAAAATATTGCCTAAAATTGGTTTTCGAAGCTTTCCCCTGATATTAAATCAAAAACCTTAATATAAAATACATTTTTTCGACCTTAAAAGGCGGACCCTAATAAAAAACACCCCGGGGTTGACTAGTTTTCATTAGTTTTCATTATTAGGGGGTGAAACCCTGAAATAGTAGCTTCATGTTTACATTGTTTTCCAAAGGGGATCAATTAAACATCAAATTGGCCAACCTTAAATTTTCCAAAATTGGAGATGGAGCCTAGTTTTATTATTTGGGTTTCGTAATAGGGGGAAGGGATTATCAACCATGATGAAGTCACTATAGACCGAATTTAACAAACTCCAGCACCACAATGTGTATCCCCATGTTTCGCCTATTCTTTGCACCATCGAGGTGGGAAGTACCGACAATCTGGGCGTGGCACTGGTGGGCTGTGGGGGAACCTCAGAGCATACCTTGGAAATAGCTGTGAAATACCTTAGAAACCTGGAAATACTGTGGATGGAAGAAATCCTGCGCCAGTTGATAGGAGGTTTATCCCATTAGGTGTTCAACCATCCAAGGTGGTGCAAGATGTCTTCCACCCACCGTCTCGTGAAATATTTGGAAACTATGAGGTGGCTGTCATCAAAGTATACCATCCTGGAAACGTGTATCTATTTTTTTGGGGGGGGATTACTAGATCTAAAAATGTGTTGAGGAAGCAGCACCCGAAAAGTTCATTCATTGTACAGATGCTGTCAGCAGACAGTGCGAACACTTGGATTTATACGCTGCTCATGAAATTTATATAATGCCTAAAACACTGAACAAACGTGTTGAAATGGGTTAAAATGTGGTTTCAACCATCAAACAGGTTTTAAGATAGCTCATCAGATTCTCACTAGCCTAGGAACGAAGATTTAGTGAGCGTGAATGGTGTTTCAGACAATGCTCCCATCCCGAAAAATTGGAAGGTAATCCCCCATCGGCCAACACCTTATGTGAAGCTCAATAGTAATTTGTGCAGCATTTGTTCCATAAGCTTCTAATTTGGTGAATACATGTGAATAGTGGAATAGTGGTGAATATGAATTTCAAACATGAAGAGAAGGTATTTCTTGGATTTTGTTGGCATGTAGCCCTTTCTGAAGCAGTTTTTCACATTGAATCTCTGCATTGCCCGGGATTTGTTGCTTTCAGGCCGGCACTGGGAGAACGAAAAACAAATCTGGGAATGCAATGCCCTGCTGGAGAAAACTGTTTAACGCAGGTGTCCTACAATGTGGTGCCCTGCAGTTTTCATGTTATAAGTATTTATAAGTTCTAAGTTGTTTTACTTCAACCAATCAACTGATCTCAACGGATACATCTACCATCCATCGGGCCCGGGCCCAGGTCGCATTATGCGCGCTCTCTACAACCAGCCAGAGCTGAAGCTGCGTTATTTGATCCGAAGCCCTTCGGAACTGACGGAATCGGCTAGCGGCTGACCTCACTGGGGAATCATGGGGAATCATCTAAAAAATCACGGCCGCAAGGTTCAGCTATTTTCAGCTGCTTCGGAATAATTCTGAATAGCTGATGGGTTTTTGGAACATTATAGAACCATATATGGACCATATATGGACCATATATGGACCATTAAGGAATAGCCTCTGGTAATTTGTTACACTTTGCTATTGAAAATCACCATTGAAATCGTGGATTTTCCCATGAAAAATGGTGGATCTTTCCACCCATCGGATCCCCAAATCCGCAGATTTCCAAGCAGGTCATGGCGTGCTGCGTTGGACGCAGCGCCTTCGTGGGGACATTACGCAGTGGGAGAGCTCAGTGGACGAAATCCAAGGAACTGG